CAGGAACCTCCTGGTCACATCTTTGTTTTTTGCTCCACTGTGTTTTATACAAGTGTCTCGCTTAAGAGTTACACACAGCCTTGAAGTACTGGTTGCATGATGAAATGACATTTGAAAGAGTGAATAAGTTGGAGGGTGCTAAGGACTAGCAGTCACTGATTGATCCTCTGGGTTATTTAGAGAAGTTGTTCATTCTCTGAGCTGATTGAAACCTGCACACTCAGAGAGAAATTCTTTGAGGAAGATGGAGGGCAGTGTGTCTGTGGTAGGCGGCTCCCTCAGTTTCAGGGCAGAGGAGTGTCATTCAGGCCAGGGCTGCTTTTGTCACCACATAAGCAACTGTGATTGAGAGCCAGAAGAGCTTGTGGTATTGTGGATGAAGGTGCAGGCCACAGAGACTGCTTAGAGACTGTGGAGACCTGCACAGCAGCAACTGCCCATGGTCTGGTCAACAGGCCTATGCAGAACTGGTAAACCATTACTGAACGACTGTATTTTGAGAATTTTAGAAGCTTATCAAAGGATGCCTAATGCCCAGGGTTGGAGAGGGGCTGCATTTTAAAACTGATATCTAAAGGCTGTGTGTGGTGCTGCGCACCTGTAATCTTAGCACTCAGGAGGCTGAGGAAGGAAGATCACAGGGTTCAAGGCCATCCTGGGCTACACAGTGAGACCATGCCCCCCTCCCCCCGCAAAAAAAATTGAACAATATACTCTGAATTAACTTGCATCAGATTCAACCCAGATGAGCAGCAGGGGATTTTATTGTCATCATGATATGACTTACTTGTTTTTTGGATCTGTGTCTTTGTTTCAAGAGAGACTGCAGGCTGGAAAACGCCCTGTGCCGAGCTCAGCTCTGTGGCACCTGCGTGTCTTCAGCTGTGCTGTGGCCTGTTGGGATCTATCCTTTCATTTAGAAAGGAGGAGCGCTGTCTTTTATTCATCTCAGAGTAAGGCAACTGATGAAATCCTTTATAGCTAGAAGCTGTGATCCTATGACAATTCATATGCTGAACAGATATTGCAGCCTACTAAGCGACAGTTATGGAACAGTGAACAAAAACAAGGAACATCTACCCCTGAGAAGCTTATTCCTACAGTGGAGGAGGATGGACAGTCAACAAATAAATGGATAAATTATATATTAGAAGAGGAAAAGTACCTTGGAGAACTGCATAGAAATAGAGCGGGGGGCGCGGGGGCGTGAGAAGCATAGTTTGAAATAAGGAGGTCTGGGGAGGCATCAGAGAGAAGGCAACTTTAAAAATGCACTGTGAGTGAGGAAGCAGATTGTGCAGCTCTTTGGAGAGGGAGCACTCCTGCCAGAGGAGAGGGCCAGCACGAGCAGCCAGTGACAGGAGCATAGAGGCAGGGTGGAGGGTTGGTGGCTCGGGTGATCCCAGGGGAGGCATGGGAGACGTGAGCGCTCAGTGTCTTTGGTGCCTTTTTAAGACTTAAATTTTATACTAAGTTAGAGAGAGCACCACAGGAGTGCTCTATAGCAAGGAAGGACATGGACTAATGTGCCTGAAATGCTGAGAAGAGGCTGTAGAGGGGCAAAGGATGAAAATAGGGAGTCCAGGGGAGAGACTACCACAGTCCTGCACATTAGAATGGGAGGGAAGCAGTAGGCAGTGGTCAGATTCTAGATGTATTTAGAAAATTTGTACGTGGATAATGTATGAATGTGAGACAAGCAGAGCCTAGGGTACTCCCAACGTTATGGCTAAACAGCTGCCAAGGTGGAGTGACCACTAATGTGCTCAGGATACCCTATGAGTATAGCAGACTCTCGAAGCCAAGATCACCTGGTCCGTGTGGGACATCTTAAGTTTTGTATGTGGATTAGGCCTTCAGGAGGAAAGGAGGAGTAGACAGCTAGACACAGGGATACACAGCTCAATGAAGGCATCTGAGAGGATCGAATCACTATTGTTCAGGCCCATGTGGGCATAGGTGATATTTAAAGTGGTCAGCCTGGAGGATATCACCAAGGAGTGAATGAGAAAGCAGGCCTGTTAGCCTATTTTCTATTGTAGCAAAATAGCTGATGTTGGATATTTTTAAAAAGAAGTTTGTTTTATTTTATTTTTTATGTATTTGGTACAGAGTCAATAGGGTCTCACTATGTAGCTCGGACTCATAGTCATCCTCCTGTATTCAGCCTCCCAAGTGTTGGGATTATTGGTGTATGCCACCACGCCCCGTCTCAATCATCGTCTCTGTACCTGGGGAGTGGGGCCTGCATGACATGCTGCGCGATTGAACCCTGGTCCCTGTGTCTGCTAAGCGGTGCTTTAATCTGCTGAGCTAAAAAGAGGTTTATTTAGTGCGCAGTTTGAAGGCTGGAAGTCCAAACAATGCTGCCAGCTCTTGTTAGGGCCTCTCAGGCTGTGTCAAATCCTGGGGAGAGACTATATAATCAGACAGGAAGCCAGAGAGTGGGGAAGGCAAGACTGGCTTTTGTTTTTCTTCTAACACTTCACTCTGGAGAGAACTAACTTAGAGTCCTTCGAGAGCTATCTTAATCTCTTCTGAGGGCAGCTGCTGTAGCGATCTCTCACTAAATTCTACTCCATGAAGATAGAACCTCTCACATTGCTACATGGGTGACTGAGCTTCCAACACATAAAACCTTGAAGCATACATTCAAACCATACTCAAACCGCAGTGTAAGGTGCAGAAAGAAGAGGTTTAAGATCTGATCTTTGAAATACCTAGTGTTATAGGTCTAGGGCATGAGGGGAAAATAAGAAAGAGAGAAAAGCAGAAAAGCTAGAATAGAGAAGTATCCCAGAAGCCACAGGAAGAAAAGGATACAAAGATCTAATGAAGAAAAGGGTATAAAGTCAGATGCTCTGCATAGGTCAGGTAAGATGACAACTGTGACCTGACTCTGGATTCAGCATCCTGGAAGGTGAGCTGAGGACTGTTTGGATGGAGCGGTGGGCAAATGCTTCTTTTGGAGGAAGTTTAGAATTCAAGGAGAAGAATTGGAGACAAAAAACTCAGCGTTTTGCTGCAAAAAGGAAAAAAAATACTTTATAGGGAAACATTAGTAAAGAGAACTCTCCTTTTATGTTATTTGATTAGGTTTTTACCTTTAGATGGGCAAAACAACAGTGTCAGTTTGGTGCTGGTACTGATTCAGTAGAGAGTGGAAAATTAATGGTCTTAAGTGGAGGAGTGCTAAAGCATTGTGCAGCGTAGCTGGGAAGGGATAGGCTTTACTGAAGAGGCTGCCAGTTTTCAGGAAATGCACAATTCATCCCATATAAGAGGAGAGAGGTAGAATATATGGGCTAGATTCTGGCAGGTAGACATAGTAGGAAGGCATAGAAATTCTTTTCTGTTTCTTCAAATTTCTCAGTGAAGTCAAAGCTGGTCACCAAAAGAGAGCACCACTTGGGTAGAGAATGGTTGAACTTGAGGGAAAAAGAGAAGAAAGTTATAGCAGTGTCATGCAGGCGAGGGGATATGAATGGTCTAATGTCTAATACTGTGGACTGATTTCTAGTGGTTGTGGTTTTCGTTGGCCTTCCTCTGTTAGATTGCTCTTCACCAAATGCTTTTGTATACCTTGATGCTCCCAACAACTCTGAGATAGCAAAGAGAACAGGGTATTCCAAAATGGTACAACTTAAAGTCAAAGTATGAGTCTTAAATCCTGGTCTTCTAAGTTACAGTATAGATTTTTTCCCCTCTGTTATACTTTTTAAAATGATTCTTAATTATGGTTAATATCCAGGTGTGAAAGTACTCTGGGGATCTCTAGTTTTATTGCTGTCAGTGGTTCTAGAGAGAAAAGATCAGGTTAAACACTTTTTGCCAATTATTATTAAGCTTCAGTTTCATCATTTTCAGATTGAGTCCAGTATTGAGTAAGTTTAATGGTGACAGAATCCTTGCAGAGCTTAAAAAAGAAGTTTGCTTAAAAGGAAAAACATAGCCTTGTTCATGGAAGTTCTGGTTTCTCTCCAGACCATAAATACATTTTTAGAAATGTTTTCACTAACATGAGACGTTATAATTTTCTTATGTATGAAGTATTATTATAAATAGAGATGAGGCGTATGGAATTATTCTTCTTACTTTGCAATCACATTTCATATGCTAATTGTGTCGTATGCATAAGTAATATTGAGTTAAATATCTCTGGTTTTCCTTTAGATATGATTAGAATTTCTAAAGTAGGATTGTTTATTTCCCAATTGTATTAGAAGCAGATTAATCAGGGCCAACTGCCATCTCTCCTGCAAGTGCCAAATCTTAGAATGAACTCTTAAGCACATTCCATGCTCTGAGTATGTGCTCCTTTCCACTCACCCACCTTAGACCCAATTCTGTGGCCTTAAATCATGTTTGTGAAGCTCACATGGACACCAGTCAGCATGTCGTTTTGCACTGCTGCCTACATCCTAAATCACTGGAGTTTCTAACTCTTTCAATAGCTTGATTCAAATTTTGTGTTAGATTTAGTGTCAGCACAACTTAACAATGCAAATGTTTTTCATATGTAGTAACTATAGGAATTGAAATCCTTTCAGGATGTTTATTAAAATAGTGAGTAGACTTATTATTATTGTATTAGCTCATGAACTCAGTACTATTGTGGACAGCCCTCCTCTAAAATCTTTAAGGTGAACTAGATTTTCTCATATTGTTGCTATTTGTATTTTGCCTATATATAAAGCAATAGGTTTTAACTTCAGTCTGTGATCATCTGTTAAACAATTTCCAAGGAAGAATGGTAAGAGTATCAATGTTGAATGTTAAGTATCTGGTTCATAAAGAAAATCTTCTAATGGATGCTCTTTTAAATTAAGAAGAATGTTCCAATAAAATATTCTGTGGTAAAATGTATACAATATAAAGCTTACCAGTTTGGTCATTTTTGTGATCACTTAAAACTGGGGTCAGGGATATGGCTCAATGGCACCACACCTCCCTGGCAAGCGGGAGGTCCTTAGTCTGATTCCTTGTCTCCTCTTCCCCAGAAGTGCCTATTGTCCTGGCATTAATTAAATCCACAGTGTTGTGCAACCATCACCACCGTTCAAGACGCTGTCATTGCCCCAAGTCTAGTAAGTGCTTTCATTATTATTATTTTATTTTTGCGGAACCGAGGATTGAATTCAGGCCCTTGTGCTTGCCAGGGAAGCGCTTATTCTACTGAGCCATCTCCCTAGCCCCACAGTAAATGCTTTTAAATGTCATGGAAATATTCCAAGATTTGTGTATAGTTGTCTCACATTAATATGGCCTGAGATGTCATAGGTCAGCAAAAGTGTTTGGGGTCAAATCTATCTAATAGGTGTATTCATTTTGTAATGTGCTCATTTCTTAGTGGGCTAAGCTCACCACATCTTCGGACTCATTGATTAGTGTGAAACTTTAGTTTCTCAGGTGAGGTGACTGCTTTCCTAAGCCTTCTCTTAATCCTCTTATCAAAGCACCACAAAATTAAACTCGACATTTGTGAGCTTCAGATCAAAGAGAATTGATGATAGTGTGTGTTGCCGCATGTACAGTCCAAAGATTAAAGTCGGTTCTGTTTAAAGAGACCCCAAATAACAGATGACTGCGGGAAGCATTCTGTGCATAAGAGCTGGAGAAACTTTCATCTCACCAAGTCATTGTGGGTCAAAGCCTTCCACAGATGGTGTGAGAGCCATAAAGTGGAGCCAGCTTGGTGACTTCTGATGAACTGAGAAAGTCTGTGACTTCTCCATTTAAGACATTGGTATAATTGCTTTTATATAACAGTGATGATGACTTACTGATAAGTGCTTATATATATATATAT